GGATTTTTATTGGAATAAATGAAATCGTCACTGTAAATTCCTTCTCTGTATTTGACCTGTTTCTGTTTCTGCATGTATGGACCAAGCAGTCAAAAAGTGTGGCCAAGGAAAAATCCAGTAAACCACTAATAAATGTCATCTCATGTAGGAGAAAAAATAACAATAAAACCCCTGAAATGAGGTAGAGTTAATTTCCTCCATGCTTGAAAAACAGAATCTGAGCGTGGGTTTGTATTATAAGTACTTCGGTATTAAGGGTGTGGGTTAGCATTTATTTATGATGATAGAAGGACAGTGTCTTATTACAGGTCTGGACTGTTGCAGTTTACAGTGGATCACTTTAAAGGTTCTTTCACATTTTTTTGATTAGATTTTGCCATCTGCTTGTCTTCACAAAGCTGTTACTTTGCTTGGAAGTTTCCACTGGAAGCCATTGGACTTATCTGTCTTGTGTTTATCAATTATAAATACCCCACCCCACCACTCAAAAGATTTGGCTTGGTGTCACCTGTTTGTCTACAAGGCATATGTTTAATACCATATTGTGGAACATTTTATGCAAAGCAATATGATTTCCATGGAGACAAGCAGGTGGTGGATCAGAAAAGTAACATAGTGCACCTTTAATGTACAATAAGATGCACCCATAATGTCATAAAATCTGCAGATACAGACACACGTTGTGAGGAATGTGTGAGTGTTGTGTAGGAGTGGAGGTCAGTCTCACTATCACGGACAGTGTTAATGTATTCTGCTCCTATAGTGGCTGCCTCTGGTCTCAGTGGCCTGAACAATGGGTCAATTCATGTTGCAACACAGAGAGACAGTGCTATCAAAAAATCAGGGCTTTTGACGCAAATTAAGTGTCAAAATTTCATGGTTTCATATAGAGATCTGTGCTTCCAACAGTTCAGTGGAGTTCAATGCATGTGTCACTGAGTGCTCTCATGTTAAGTCATTGCAAGAAAATTGTATTTTTCTAAGAAATGAAGAATTACTACTAATTTAAAATGTTACTTATATTTAGTAGAGTCCTATTAGATTGGGTTCTAGAAACCACAGAAACCAAATTAAACTATGAGTACATCAATAATTAAAAGAGTTTTTTACATCTCCATTACAAAAAATGATCTTTTCTGTATTTTATACTTGCTTGGTTCTCTTTTCCCTGCAGTGTTAAATGGCCCCAAAGGCCTTGTACTATAAAAGAAAAAATATTAATGTATCAATTAAATCTTTTGGAATTAATCCAATAAATATAAGACGACAATGTTATTAAAATGGAAGCTCTTAAAGAGTTATTAAGAGAGATTAAATGGATAAATCCTGCAGGGCACAAAAATTGTAGAGTTTATAAATATGGCAAACCACATTGAACTGAAAATTACTTTGGGGTAGTTAACCAAAGGTTAACCATTATATCACTTCAAAGAAGAAATAGATTTTGAGTAGTGTTTAAAGCATAGATTTTTGCATTTTATGTTTTAGGACAGTCAAACGGGTGCCAATTTACTCAGGGCTTGCAGTGCAGAGAACAAAGTCTCTCTAGAAGCCTTCAGGAGAAATATTTCAACCCATATTTGGTTAGAAATCAATGTTAAAAATCTAAATAAAAATTATTGTTTATTGACTAATCAAACCAATAAGACCTGACAAGTTGATTACTAAAATAATTTTTCAGACTATAGGAAAGGATCTATCCCAAATCTGAAGTTTTCATATGGTCCATATTTCCAGATCTAATGACCCACAGTGGAGCTCTACGTTGGCCTGGGATATGTCTTTCTTGCCTGGGAAGTGTAATTGCAATGGGGGCTTCTTGAACCCCAGACTCATCTTTATGACTCACATTAGCATACATAAAACTGCTCTGTGCGCCTATAACACCATAGTACTGAAAACCCAATCATTTCCCTAGCACCGCACTGCCTTTTGCACTATAAATGGGAGTTTCTTATGACTTCCTGTGAGAATGGAGATAATTGCACCACAAATACCAGACAGCATAATGTTAATTCAATGATAGGATTTGATTGTCTTTGTTTAGTAGTGTCCCCTGGGCTTGTTCAGTTCAGCCTATAGGCCTATTAGTTTGTAACAAAACAGAATACAGACAATAACTACAGGCAACATCACATTTTGTCTAAACACACAGACAAATTCATTAGCAGTAGACTATCAAGAAGCCTAGCAGAAATGATTTGGCGGCGTGCTAAAAACAAGTCCCCCGGGGCTTGTTTAAATGGCTACAATAAAAAGGGAAATGCATTTTTTATGAATGTCTCATTACAGCTACAATCAGCAACAATTATCATCCTTTTACCTTAAAAACAAAATAAAGAACTAAAAATACTAAACTGCAGGTGCTTGTACATGGACTTTTTTCTGGCTCATTGACCCTTAACCTTTAGCCTCAGCCTTGAATTTTTGACATAACCTCCCACCAGTTTACACCTGCTACTTTCCTAATGTAGCCTATCCTATTATAGTAATACATAATTACACTTATTTTGAGCTAACTGATTTCCAACTGAATTTGATCACTGTAATTATTTAAATACATACAACAACTTTAAGCCAAAAGGTTGCTAAATAAAAGTAATATAGGCTAGCCTATTTAAAACCCAAAGCCTAAAAAAATGACTTTACTCCATATTACATAAACTGTTTGTAGCCTACAAAATTAAATTCTAATTCTATCTATTATTACTGTGCCTTCAGATACTGTGGTATTTAACCTTTGCTTTGCATCTGCTGTTTAGATATAATCTGGTGTGGAACATCTCTGTTTTATGAGCTTAAAGGTGCATTGTGTAACTTTTCTGGTCAAGGGTCTGTCAAAATGCTTTTCTTCATGGAGACGTCATTTCTTTGACTGGAATGTTTCACAGTACGGCACTAAATCTTTCATCTTCTTCTTCATGGAGACCAAACCAAGTTGCAGGTCAGATCTGTGGAGAGGCACCCCTGCTCACAGTTAGAACAAAGTATTTTTGAGCTATAAAACCATCTGCAATTGAATAAATGTAAGGTATATCTATTTGTGTTCATGTCATTTTGTGCAATATTCTAAGCATATATTGATTGATTCTTTAGATATTGCATACCCATAGAATCAAGAAGATGATGGACCCTCCAACTGAGAAGTTACATATTGCACCTTTAATGTCCCTTCAGATAAAGACTAAACTAAACTAAAACACACAGTCCATAATGTTCAAGCAACTATACAGTCTGACCCTCTTCTGGCACAAATCCACTTCAAATCTCTTGATAAGAAAGTAGGTTAATGTGAACAATTAAGCATTTTCATACAAAATGGACAATGAACCTAGTTCGATAATTGAAGATCTGTGTTATTATAGTAGTGTATATAGGCTAATTTATTTCCCATCAGGGACAAGGTGATTGAACTGAGAGTGTATTAGGGAATTAGTCAAGGCTATTTACTAGTAGACTGCATTAACCATTAATGTCAAGATTGTAAAAAATAAAGTTAACAATGTTCAGCTTTTTTTTTAAACATTGATTTGATTATAATAAGCTTTTTGTTGTAGGCTATAACATTATTTGCTAATAGTAGAAAGGGATTCAAAGGCAGTCATCTGTACCGTATCTCTGAAATCATTGCCAATGTTACAATTGTACCTGATGTTTTTATTATTATATTGTGAGATAATTAACTACATGGTATTTTGACTTAAACAAAACCTGCTGAAGCCACTAATAGTGAAAGGAGATGCTATTACTTACAGTACTGTACGACACTGCTCTCATGTGGTCGACGCTGGAACTGCAAGCTGTTGCTCACTTTGGTGCGAACAATCCATCATCTCACGACTCACTCAGGTGCAAGCCCCAGGTTATATCCAAAACTGAAATTGGGGGGGGGGTCATTTATAAAAGTCACTTCAAAGTAGATTTTTTAGGTGGTGCGGCTGGAGCTATAAGATTTGGGCTGATTGCATCTTTTGTCACAGCAGTTCTGTCTGACAGGTGCAAGTGGTAGAATGTAAAGGGGTAACTGAGGAAGGTGGTGTATTCTGAATGCATAAGCCAAATATACAGAATTCTGGAGGGTCTGGGTTTTCAAGAGGCATGATGAGTATGAGTAAAATGTGTCCTTAATATAGTGATAAAAACATGTTTATCAGTTACCTTATTTGTTACCTGTATTTCTTCCTTCTTGATGATGCTTCTTTTGAATAAAGGTCCTATATTACGATATTTTCGAATCTGTTATTATGTAATTTCCTCATCAAAAACATACCTGGAGTTGTGTTTTGGTTTCATTCAAACATATTTAATACACAACAACAACTACAACTCGAATCATTCTGATAACTTCAGACCTGGATGTGCCAATTTCTACTGAACTAGAGGCAAAAGGTATCTGTTTTTGTTTTGTTTTCTTTTGTTTTTTTGTTTTGTTTTTTGTTTTTCAATCATCTCCATTTAAAAGTGCGAGATAAACTTCCCTCTACGGCAATACCAAGAGCTACCAGTGGATGGCAGCAATACGCCACGACGGGTCCAGGAGTCTGCGGAGCTAACTTTATTTTTTATTTTTTGTCCCAGGTCCCAAGATACTATCCTGTTTTTTTTATTTAAATATTATAGTAAGGGCTAATTTAGAAACTTGCTTATGTGCAATTTCAGAGTGTATCGTAAAAGAAATTATCATTACTAACATTAGCAAGCGTACCCACAAGAGGGCACCGTTGTAATGTAGTTTCTTGCCTCAGTTCAGAATACACAATACTTTCATCTGTAAATACCTCAAATAAATCCGGCTTCAAGTAGCGCATTTCAGTAGGCTCCAAAGCTCTCAGCGTTTAGACTTTTGACGTTTTAACTCACTTAGCTCTGATTAGTGTGAGCAAGTCACAAAAAACTGTGGGTTCATCAAAAACTGTAATCTAACCTCAGCTGCTAGAGGGCGCTGTCACATTTTTAATCCCCTTGAACACGTCACACATCCGCCAAATTCGGATGTTTATGTCCCTTTTTCAAAACGTGAAAGTGTGAGGTGTGAACTCTGAAGTTTACTTTAGCCGCACATTAAATGATTTGCAGTTGCAACGCTAGCCATCGTTACATCAGTATAAACAAAGGTACAAACAAGTTACCAGCTAGAACCACACGCTTTGACAAACTTTACAAAGACGAGTGGATTCTATCAGAATATAGAAGGGTCTGACTGGTCAGGCAAACAAACAAGCGGATTAAATGATTGAAACATGGCAACATCCGCTGAGAAACGCACCACGATTTCAGCGAGCAGAAAAAAGCAGGTACAATTTTGTATAACGTACTACAGGTCCACATTAAGAGCATTTTCTTGATCAGTTAAATCCAGTAGCTGTCACTGCATTATATTGACTAATAAATAAGTATTGTCTGTGCTGTGCCACCATAATATCTGTATAAACCTGGGGGAAACACGGATTACTTGCATGTGGTTGTGGTGGATTTTAGGAGGAATAGGCCACAGCTGCACTCTGTGACCATCTAGGGCAGGGGTGTCAAACTCATTTTGGTCCGGGGGCCGTATCCAACCTACTTTGATCCCAAAGGGGCCGGATCAGAAAACTCATGGAATATAAACCCCAAAAATAACAATAATATAAGTTCAAATATTTGTGCAGAGAAATGCAAATCTATTACAGAAATATTTTTTATATTATAATATTATGAACAACCTGAAACTTTAAGAAAAATTCAATTTCAATATTTAAAATATTTTAGTAGAAAACCACCCAAGGGCCACATTAAAGGTCTTGGAGGGCCGGATCTGGCCCCCGGGCCTTATGTTTGACACCTGTGATCTAGGGGGACACTGTGGAGGTTGTGGAGACATGTAAGTACTTAGAGGCCTTTAGCTCATCTACAGACTGGACTGGTCTGAGCACGTGCACATGCTGTAGAGAAAGGGACAGAGCAGCCTGCACTTTCTGAGAAGGCTGAAGTCCTTTAACATGTACTCCTGCTCTTGTTCTACCGGATTGTCATCTTCACTGTCCTCTTCACCAGTGTGGTCTGCTGGGGAGGAAGTAGGCCTGTCACTATAATTATAATATTGACTCATTGTTCAATGTATGAAAGCTGCAAGAATATACTTTGTGGCTCAAAATTTGTCATGGTTAAAATTTCAACACTGGTCAGATTTTAGTTATTTCTATGTAATACAATAAACTGAGCTATAGACGGTAGAATAAATAACTTCTCTGGCTAATTATTATTGGTTCATTCTGCTATTTATTTGTTGCAACTTGGGGCTTTTGAATTATACTGTCTATTTAAAAATGGTTTACTGAGATTATCCTGCTTTTGTAGTATAAAAGTAGTTTTAATATTACATATTTCAACTTACTTATTATCCTCAAAAAGAAAGATGCCATGTGGCTGAATAAGATGGTGAGGAAGGCAGACTCTGTAGTGGGTGTTGAGCTTGACTCAATCATATTTGTGGCTGAGAACAGAACAAACTCCTTTCCATCATATATAACCCTGCACCCCTTGCACCATCACCGGACAGAAGAGCACCTGAGGGGATAAGCTATTGTCTCTGTCCTGATCAATGGACAGACACTGGAAGTCCTTTGTCCCATGTGCCATACATACGATAGCTGATGAGTGCAGGGGGATGAACTGTCAATTTGAACTTCATTATTAATATTTTTTTCTTTATGTTGCTTCTGCCAAACTTTGAATTTCCTTCAGGATCTATAAAGTATCTATCTATCCATCTATCCATCTGACCATATGTTATTTTCTTTAGTTGCCAGATCGTGAGGATAACGCACAAAATCTCATCAGGACTCACATGTTTGACAAGGAATTCAAAGGTTACAGTAAAGTTTTACATGGACTATTTAAAGGACTTATCCTCACACCAGACTTGTAAGTATATGAGTATATGAGTATAAGTGTTAATAGCAGTCTCTGACACCATATCTTAACTATGTCTCATTATTTGAGGTCTGAAAGTGATGAAGAAGAGGTGGAGAATCATAGAGCCCATGCTCTTTCAGATTCACAGCAGCTTTTTACAGAAACAGGTGCAAATATATTTAAATTTCTTACTATCATTTGTATTGTTTTTATTCATGTTAAGATGAAAGTCTTTAAATTGCTGTTGTCAAAATGTTTACCAACATGCCTAGATTGCAATATTAGTTATGTTATTGCATTTAGTTTAAAAGGACTATTTGGGCATGGTGGGCTCAGAGCCTCACAGTAAAACCTCTCTATCTTCCTGTGTTTGTTTGTTGTAGCTCTCTGCAATATAAATATTTAAAGCACCATCCTGGGGCTTTTCTTCTTTTGTACTTGTCCAGATGTGACCTTGCCTTCTTACTTGAATGGGAGCCTTGGGTCTCGGGAAACTGACAGAGAGAGGGATGGAGCTCGGCATCTTTCTTACTTTTGCTCCTCGTCGACCTCTGGAGCAGTCAAAATACTGCAGGAGATGGAGACCGTCTATGAGCAGCTTAAGGTGAACAAAGTCCTACAGTGAAAGAATAATCAATCATAATAAACATCAGTATGGGCCAATGTTTACTGTTGAATTGCATTAGGGAATATATTTTTCTTTATTTTCTGGGAGATATATTTTTAATCTGAAATTCAAATAAGGAGTTTAAGGCTACCATTTGTAAGTTGTGGTCAGGGGTGTCTGCTCTTCTTCTGTGAGGCCGAAGCTGGCACACTATGACAACAACACTCAGACAACAACCAACCTAGATGGTGATATGTGAGAACACAACTCTGGCTTGTTGGATGTTAGCTTTAATATGAGATTAAACATTGCACAAGCAGTATTACATAACATTACCGGGCGTGGCTATGTTTTCCTAACCTTGAACGAACAAAATAGCCTGTATTGACGCTGCCACGTTTGTTTTGGGTCATTTGGGCCTTTGGCTTCCACACAAACCTGTTGCAGCTCTATGATTGGTCTGCCTACCAATTATCCTTACAGCAGACATTGACTACCACATTCTGTGGTAGTTGATGCTGTTGTTGTATAACTATACTGTACATTCCTGACAGATACATTTTTGTGAATAGTCAATTTCTTTTGCAATGAGTATCTAATAGAACTTGTCTTGGGTTTGAAGAATGTGCCGTAATTCATACATGTATTGCATTTGAGCACAGACTGAGCGACAGAAGCAGCTGCAGTGGGAGGAGGAGTTAGAGCAGCGAGAGATGAGACTGAAACAACAAGAGGAGGGTCTTCAGAAACTCTTGGGTTTAGAAGAAATGTGCCACTCAAAAATGCTTTCTGCAGAAGAGGTCAGTGGAACAAAAAACTTAAAATGTGTGAAAAAAAATAAGAAATTGCTGCCAATGTATATGGATTTTGTATTTCAAATTTTTGTGTTGTGTCCTCCTGACATGACCAGAAACAAAAGAAAGAGATCCTTCACCTCCAAAATCTACTGCGGGAAAAGACCAAAGAAAACAAGAGACTGAAGTCAAGCTTTGAATCTCTCAAAGATCTGAACGACAATATGAAAAAACGGGTGCGGTTGGAGAAAATTAATTATGGGAAAGAAATTTAGCTAGCTAATATGACAAAATAATAGATCACCTTTTTCTGTTATTTATTACCATTTAAAACAGTTATTATTTTTCTGTGCACCTCATATGTATATCATTGATGATTTGATGTTTAAAAATTATATTTTTATAGCATGCTCCTTACCATCTTGTTTAAAAGTTAGTTTGGTGGTGTTTTTGAAAGTTGTATTTTAAATTCTTTGAATATGTGAATATTTTGTGAATCAAGATCTCAATGTTCAAGCTTATGCAAATTAATTGTAGTTCTAATCTTTTACTTTGCCTACTTGAATCCACAAGAGGGCAGTATAACACAGCTTGTTCAGTATGTTTCTGTACAATTTGACAACTTCTTAAACATTACTTACTTATGTTATATATATATATATATTTTTTTTTAATTTATTTATTATAATCAATAACAGCTAAATGAATTGAGTGAGCAGAACAAAAGGCTGGAGAAGCAGTCAAAGAGGGTGCAGGCCCGACTTGAAAACCTACAGGTGAGACTTTGAACTTTCAGCGTTTCATTAAAGCCAGTCCATAAAACAGATTCAGCTGTTTGTGACATTTATTGTAACATAAATCCTGACTAATTATATTTAAATGCTTCTTTTCAGAGGAAATATCAGCACGGTGTTGCATTGAGAGAATGTCAGAAAATAAATGACCCCCTGGAAAGGGTCAAACCTCTCGAAAAGGACAAAACCTCTGGTAAAAATATCAGCAAGGTATGTCTATGTCATTACAAACTGGCAAATTTGTTACTATACCTGCATATCTACTTTTACTTCTTTCAATTAATAAATAAAGGTTTTTAATAATTGCATTTTCAAGCTTCTCCTGAACATTTTTAAACCAGTATAAAGTGTTATTAGGCAATACACACAACATAATTTCTTTAGTTATTTTTATTTGACTATTTTAAGACTTATCTACTTGTTTTTCAAATTGATTATTGCACATTAATGTAGCTTGCCAGTATATACATGTAATTAACTAAACGACAGTGTTTAAGAACTTGTTTGGCGCTAATGAATTCCTAATTTCTCTCCCATCTTCTGTTGATACAATTTGGTTTTAATTCTGCATTTAGGTGTATATTGCATCTAATGCAACAATACAAAATATAATATTGTATTGTTCAGTATGGTCTTCACAAACACACGTGTGGGTCAATATGCATTTGCCACTATTCCAGCACATTAATCGTCCATTATATGGTCTCATATACAGGAAGAAAACAGCCCTATAAAGGCTTATCCATGCTATAAAGGTCCTATATTACATAAAATGTACTCTGGTGAGCTTTAATCCATGTTATAATACTGTTACTGGCCTCAGAAACATACCGGAGTTCACATATGCTTGAGTCTACATCTCTTCTTTTACATCTCTTCTACAACTTTCTTTTTTTTTTTCTTTTTTTTCTTCTTCTGAGGCCTTGAACTTTGCATCCCTTCTAGACATATGCCTCTTCTTTATTCCTCATGTGTATACTTATGTCATTCTTGTATCAATCTTCTTGTTTATACATCCTGCAGGTTTTCCCTTCTGCAAAGCTGCTCTCTCTGCTCCTGGACTGGGTTCTTGATGAGCATCTCAACTCATCAATGGTCCCCAGTGTTAAAGATGTGGGCCACTGTTTACCCGCAGAAATACTACTCAACGAAAGGTGCCTCAAGGTTGGACTCCTCATTGCAGTTTCACTCTTATTTTATTGCAGAGACTTTTTTCAGCACTTGTCTCGGTGTCATGACCACAATGAACGATACCCGATGCCACATAAAAAAAAGCTTTATTGAGATAGAAGTGATAATTTATCTACAGTAAGTTGTGTTTTTGTCCCCAGGTACTGCCATTATTAGCAGATCAGCTTGCCCACACACCTTTGTCGGAGCCTGTGCTCGTCTGCAGCCTCCTTCACCTTATTCACAGGGCCCTGAGACACTTGGACAACAGTGGACAGGTTAGTAGGATTAAATGTGAGGTTTTGCTGTGAGGGAAAAAAGAGGTGAAAAAGTGGGTACTGCCTGGTATCATGTTTACATACTAACAGAAAGAGCCATTGTTTTGACACTGGGTTTATTTCCACTTGGGGTGAAAGTGGGGAATGATTGATGGCTCGCTCTGCATTGTTATGTCAAGATTTAAAACATGAGCTTCTAACCTAAAATGTGACTGTCAGCTACGGCCAACATCCTATGCCAACTATGAACTAATCCATGCCTGATTTGTGTCTTATTAAGGACTTTTCCTGGTGCTATCTGATTTATTTATTTAATCCACAAATGCACTCATTAAGTTGTTCAAGTTGCTTGAAAAGAATTAAATCTACTAACTTAAATCCAATATTTGGATTTCCAAGTATTTCGTAAACTTGATTAAACCAGCACTAAAACAGACTATTGACACAGGTCTGCAGTAGGCCCAAATGGGATAAATACGGTTTGTATAGCAATGTTATAGAGGAAAAGTGCAACACAAAATGACCCTCTGTAGATAGCTCATTTTAGTCATTCTAAATCTTTAGGTACATTTGAGGGACATGGTTTTGTTGCTTTTAGTTAAATGAAGAGCTATTAAGATTTTTACTATAGTTACAATGACATGTAAATGTGATGACTGTCAGTTCAGAGGTAGGACCTGTCATATTGAGTAGCCTCTTTCCAAACAAAATGGCAGATGGAGCTTAGAGTTTAGACAGGCACGTGTCATGAAGAGCAGAAAGCTTTTTGTTGGTTATACATTTTGGAAAGTGGGTGGTTTACTCAACTGATTAACTGGCTCCATGAGTTATTTACACGATCTGAGAGAGAGTGCACTGGTTCCTTGACAAACTGACCTTGTGTTTCATTCACTGTCTTTGACGCAGATCACTTTAGGCACATTGTTTTTGTTTCCTGAAGCCGCATAACAAATGTAACTGAACGCAGCCGTTTTACTTGCAGTTTGTTTGTGTTTACTATGAACAGCATGTGGTGTTATCAGCAACACTGAGGCGCATCGGAGAAGAAGTCTCCAAGCCTCGGAGCCATGTTCAGTCTCAGGATCCAGAGACAGAGGAACTGAATGGGCCCTGCTCTAGACAGGCTCTTTACAGAAGCCCATGTCCCGAGACACGCATCCTCTCTGTGCTCATCATACTACGCACAGTCACACAAGGTAATGGCTATATCTATATCTATATATGTGTGTGTATCTGTATATGTATATATATTTGAAATAAAGACCTAAAACAATCAGTGTTGAAATACTATACAATAAATCTGGTGAAAGAGCTGCTAAAAAGTAAAAGTTTAACCTTACAGAAACATTTTTCAAACAAGTGCACATTCTCTAAGGCAACAGACAAACACAAATTTGCAGAGCTGTTGTAGAATAAATTGTAGTAACCCGAGAATTGAAGAGGAGAGGTATGACACTGGAGTTCTCACACAGGAGAAGATTATTTACCATCAGCACAAGCAGACATGAACCCTTGACATTGTGATCGTGTTGTCCATTCCGGTCTAGTAATGTCCAGTCTGGCTCTGCTTCTGTTGTAGGCCAAGATAACGGACTGAGCTGGCAGTAAGTTCTCTAACCATATCTAATTTTCTATCACCACGATTCACTACTTGAGGCAAAGCTGGCAGTAAAAAGGGGTCTCAGAAAATTGATTTACAAACATAGAACTGCCTCTTTTTTAGTTTATTAGAAATGCAATAATTAAGAGTAAGAGCATTGTGCAGTATGTTATAAGTTAGAAGAAGATAATGCAGTAAGATTATTATAGCATATGGAGGAGACTAGACCAAGTCCATACCTTTCCTTTCGAAACAACAGATGTCGTTGAAATTGTTCATAATACAACTTTCAGCAGCCACAAGCTTAAGTTCATTTCTATACAACAGGTAGTGCACTTCTCTTGACATTTAAATAAAGATTCAGTCAAGCGGCTCCTCCAGGAACTTTTCTGTTTGTTCAAAATGTCACACACTTCAAAACACTTCACTTTGTTTTAAAGGTTTAATTTTCTGTATCCTTCACTTTTTTTCTCAGTCTTTTAAAATTCAATACATGTAAGTTGTTACAATATGCAGGGCTGACATTATTGGGTCTCCATGTCAAAATATTTTCAGTTTGTCAATCACTTGTGATACTACAGTTTTGTTTAGCAGTGGGTTCCAACTTTTGTTTTTGTTTTAAGTATCCCTTACACATTGCACCATATTATTTTCTAGTGAAAGCAACAAAACTACAACACCTTAATAAAAAAATACTGGACACATTAACAGTGTAAAGGCCAAAGCCAATGACATTATATAACCTTTTCACCATTATAAAACACATATGCAGTCAATCATATAGTTTTTTTTACTTCATTCACAAAGTGCTTAAACTTCCTTTCAGCTCTGTCCAGACGGAGCCTCATGTCTTCTCACTGTGTAAATCTGACTGTATGCTGACATGTTTTATGGAGCTTTCTTCTCCAATGACCTTGCTCCTACGGCTCTTAATGCTCCAAAGCTCCCACACTCTTTCACTATAAAGTCTATCTGCTGTCAGCATACAAACCAGGGTACTTTATTTATGTAAAACCAAATTGTTCATGATAAATATGTGTTTCGCCTCTTTGTTTAAAATTGGGACCATTCTTAGACTTCAAAAAGCAAAGGAATCTTTTATCTTGTGTCAGGTTTTATAAATTCACTCTCATAATTTCTTCTTCTGAGATTGTCCACAAATGTTGACCATTTTCATATGATAAGTATTGGAGAATATGTTTTGGGTTTTTTGGAGAGCCCTGTGCAGGAATAACAAGTTAGGGTCAAAGTTTGAACAGAAAAGGGAACAGGGATAAAAGCCTTGGACAGGCACATATTTTATGATCTGTTAGATTTGAATTTTTATATTTTTTTGACAGACCTTTTTGACTTTCTCTCTTTTGTTGTATTTGGTTGCCATAGAGAAGAGCTATGTGCACATTTGATCAGATTTTAAAAATTATTATATTCATTGCTCCAATCAGTCACAAAAAATTGTGTGATTTGTTCTGTTCTGTTCTGCAGTTAATTTAGTTCAGAACAATATGCTTCTTTTGCTTCTCGGTACTTGTGAGGAAGCTATTTGGCCTATACTGATTTTTAAAACATGAATTACAAAACATTACTTTAAATGATAAATATGTTTATTCTTCTGGCTCGACATTGACCAATATGATATTGATGCTGATAGCGATTGTTTAGAATCCATAGAATAGCCCAAAAATATTTTTATCGGCCAATTTGTAGGGATGATTTAGTAAATTTTACCCAAATTATCTATTCTGAGTTTAGTAGAATCTCATCCACAGCCTTGTTTTGCTACAGACTGTGTATAGTTGCTTTTTGCAGTCCTGTTTGGTAGTGTTCAAATAAACCTTTATGCATATATTTTAAATGTATATTTAGGCAAGTGGATGGGCCAAACAAAATATCAGCCTCTGCTGGAGATTTAAGGCTCAAAAATGCAGAATACTATTAAAATTATTGTAATTGTCAACTAGTCATGGTTATTGTAGCATTACCTACCTTAGCGAAACATTCGTACAGTGATCTGGCATGTTTATGAGAGTTTTACAGTGAACAGTGAGAGTTGTGTGTCTTGCCAAGGATACAATGGATGTATTACAGTGGGATTTCTGTTTGTTTATCCACAGCTGATGTACTGGCTCAGGTATTGCACTCCATGCACTCAGACCTGTTCCATGAGGAGTGCAGAGGCCTGTTGTTACAAAATGGAGGAGTGTCTGAGCTTCTGACAGTGCTGAGGACCGGGCGCGCAGGACTACAAGCTCCTATCATAGACATACTACTGCAGCTCACTCAAGAATCTAGTAAGTATTCATTGTAGTTTTCTTTATTTAAAGTCTACTGTCACAGGTCTCAACTGTCATATGGCTACAAGATACATTACAATTGAAAGGACTGTTTTATCTTGTATTTCTGTTTTTAAACTGAATGCGTGAGACATTACACAGACTTCGCATATAACATAATTATAAATTATCTATTATAAAAAATAGATTGTGTTTAGTTACTATTATTATAACTATATAATTTATTGATACTGTTTTCTTTTAACCAATGGCGATTATTCCATTATTGTATTGTGTAATCAGACCTGGAGGCACTGTGTGGGAGGCCTTATTGGTCACATGAGACTTTTAGATCGGTTGGTTTCCCGCAGTACTATGCACATTGACACTGGATGAGAAAGAGCATATACAATACCTTTTAAACTTGAAAATCCCAAATGGATGTATTGTTTGCAGCCTCTCAGTCGATTTGTAAACAGTTACAGTAATCGCAGGATCGCTTTGGACTGGTGTGACAGACATTGGGAACAGGCCCAAACAGTAACCAGAACATGCACATTATGGTTGATTTAGATATTTCATGGAGCATCCAAAAATATTTCCTTGATCCGTTATCTGAGAAATTGAGAATGTGCTTCAGCAAACAGGGACACTACATAGAAAGTACTAGTATTAATCAATATAAAGTAGGTATGTCAAGATTATTTGGTTTAAATTGATAATCAATTAACCATGACATCTACACTCTAAACTCAAAAAAAAAAACACTAAATGTCAAATCCCATACTTTTTTACTTTATCATTCAGAAAGTTTTATTTTAAAATACTGGCCTCACTAGAAGAGAGAATTAAGGATTTCATTGTTGTATGTATGTGTCAGTAATGGTGAATAATTATAAAACTGTATTCCTTCTCACAACAACCATAACCCTAAATTTGATATCATGACATCCCAATAAATCAGAGTCTTATATTAGCCCATCTGTAACCTGGTTGTTAATAAACTTTTCCTGCTGAAGTGTTTAGTGCTGACGTATACCCTAAAGTACTTATGATCTCTCTTCTCCTGATTTACTGACTGCTTTTTACTATCACTATTTGATTTGATTTACACCAGCCTGTTCTGGAGTATAAGGCCGTATCTTCCTCTTATAGGTAACATATGTGAATTGGGGAGGTAGGTTTCCACTCCCATCTATCATAAACCGTGGCCAGGCTATGCATTTAAAGTTGTGGCTGTAAAAAACTTAAATATTCCCTGCCTGTATGGTGTAGTTATGAGGCGTATCATTGGAGACTGCTAAATACTAATCCACAACAGAGTGCAGTAATTGGGGGAGCAGGGCCAGAGCTGTGTGCATGTGTGCGCTTCACTGGGACTCTAAGCCTGGCTAATTACTGTGTTTTACAAGCAAGAGCCAAAATGAGCAGAGACAAGGAGGGACTTACACCTAAAAAACGGTAGTTGCACTGCAGTGTACACAGCTTAGTATGGCCAGAAGTACTGTTTAAGATTTTAAAATTAGCAAATCGCAACTGCAATTTAAAAAAAATGTTTTCCTCCACAAACAACAAAATATCCTCTTCTATCTTCGGCATAAAACTGCTAATCCTGTAGTTTAGGTCTGTACAATGTTTCCTGAATTCTGAAATGTAATTCTTGCATTAGATTGCCAGTTCATATTTCTTTTTGACAATCCTCCCGGATGCTTAAAAAATTAACTTTGATCAGAAGCCCATTATTGATAGATGGATTACAAAACTAATCACAATGCTTGTCAGAAAAATTGCTATTAGATATTTTATCCAAATCATTCAGCCCCAATACCCATATTATCATTTAGTCATAATACACAATAGCACATTTCACATAGCTACATTTCACTCCTGCAGTTCTTTAAACAGTGAAATAAAGTTTGAATGGGGCATATGGACTTGTTTTCACCATGCCGTGTGCTTCAGCCATTCACACCTTGTTACTTTTTCACAGTCGCTCAGTGAGTCGTTATTTCATTCTGGTTCATAGTAAAGAACAGCCCCAGTGACCTCCGTAAATACCTTTCAACATATTATTAACCTTCATTAGAGTTTGATGGCCCCCACGGCTCCTGTATGTGCTGCTAATGGACCTGTTGTTTCTGTGAATAGCTGAGTGTATAAGAAACACATCTGCAGCTGTTATAATGAGCCTTAATGGTGTTTGTGTGTACAGAAATAGGCTTGAAAAAAAAAAAAAGTATTCATATAGAATTAAAACTCTTTCATTGGAGCTTTAATATTAAAGACGTGTATATATGTTTTATCTTGGTTTGGAGAGATAATGGATAGAGGGTTTATTTTGTTATAAGTTTGAATTCACACAAACACACACACACATTTTCTAAAAATATGGTATCTGTATGTTTTATTTTTACAATTAAAGTTTTTGTCATTTTTAAGCTATAACTGGGGTTAAGGCTATTTGACTAATGCAAATATATATTGACACATTCTTCCAGCTGACTGGAAGGTACTATTACCATTTTTCTATTTATCTTATTTAGTTACATCAAAGTGCAAGAAAAGGTTATTGTGGTCTGACTCCAAAAGGCTCAACAGTGACAAGCCACTCTGGTTTCAGAAGTACTTTTTTTAGTCATTAGCTAATTAACCTTGAGCAAGTTTTCTTTTATTTCTATGGGAGAAATTAATGAGAAATTCACTTCCAGAACTGGGGGGGTGGGCAGGCGGGCACTGTCGAGCTCCATAGCCTTTACATAAATAGCAGACCCTTACAACAGTAAAGCAATCAAGTTACTTCCTAAATTGCAGTTTTATCCCTCACGTGATCTTTGTGTGCATTTGTATTTTGTATGTTGTGATTGGAACCTAATTCCTTCCTGATCTTGTGCTATGTTTGGATGCCAGCGTGACCACTGCACTTCACTACCTCTACCATCAGGCCCCTCTCTCTTACATCTGATTCTTTACTCTCATGTTGCGGTTTTACAACGGCAGGAAGTGAATTTGTTGAAGGAAGTGGAATGTGACTTTAGCAGAAACAAATGTTTATTTACCCGGAACCCACTAATTTAAGGACTTCATAAGGTCCGAATTTATTTTTATTAATCTAAGAAATGTTGGCTCCACATGTGCGCTTTTCTGTGCTGTGTTTCATCTCCATATGTTTGTGTGTGAGGTTATGTTTTATTATACTGAAGGGTCAACGTCAACAGTGACAATATGGAAGCTCTTTTTTTAAACAAAACCTTTCTCCACTCGTCCACTCTGCATCTGCTTCCCTGCTACTCTGTGTTTGATTGATAAAATGTTTTCATGGCTTGTTTGTTCTCATTCCTGTGCAAATTTGGAAACTTCGACAAATCAGGCTCTAGAAGAAAAACGTCTTTGTTTACAACGGTGTTTGGAGTGATTTGTTTTTGTGTTTGTAGGCTACTATAAGAGCTTCATAGAGGCCTGTAGCTGTGATGGGTTTTTCCACACGATATCCCAAGTTCTCAGGAGTCCTCATTTGGAGCTGCTGCTTTTAGAAAAGCTCTGCATCCTTCTACAGAAACTCTCCACTATCAGGTAGGCCACACTATACAGCATGTCGGAGAGAGTTAATGAAAAAAACATACTTTGTTACTTTGTTGTTATGTCTTTGTGGGTCATCACTGGTTTTGAATTTTATTTAGAGGACCCAAAGTTGGATCTCACCATTAGTCTTCACCCTACATTACAGCATTTCAATCTGGCTTATATCTGCTTCATAATGTCTTGTAATTGTTAGATATGACAATTTTAGTGCAAATAAAACTATTTAATTTTCAGTTCATTATGCAACTTTCATGGTGGATGATCCGCCACCTGCTTCTCTCCATGAAGGTGTTATTGTTTTCCACAGTATGACATTAATACTGTTTATGTCCATGGAGAAAGGCATGTAACACCACCCGACCAAATTACATGTTACATATGTGGAGAGGCAATCAAATCACACACACTAAGAATTCATGTTTTTCAAGGTTTTTAGAAATAGCAAAAAAATTTATACAGTTAAAGATTCTGTAATGGCAGAAAAGTTACATAGTGGACCTTTAACTTCAGTAAATCAATGATGTGTTTGTGATTTGGTTCAAGCAGATAACATATCTTTTTAGACATTAATTTATTTCCCAAGCTTTAACTGTCAAGATACTAAACAAACAGGGGAAAGTTTGGGAGATGAGATTCACATAACACCAGACATATGCTGTAGTTCTCATTGTCTTGAATGCTTACAAAATGTCAAATATGACTTGAATGAGAGCCATAGTAATTTCACAGTCAACCTCTTTTAATCACTATCTCTGTCTTTTCCTTCTCTCATCAGAAGAAACCGCCGTCTCTTTGAGTCGTCCTCTGTCCTTGAGCAGATTCGTGAACTTCAGCGCAGATACGGACCCACACACACCTTTCTGTGCCTCAACCTCACCTCCATACTCCACAATTTACAGTGACTCAAGACTCAAGCCTAGTGCACTATGTACATGTGCAGGTCTGTGTAGTTGAAGACAGCTGCCTGCACTACCTCCCTAACCATATGTCTCTGCACATTCTTTATTTATACAGTTTTTGAAGTCCTGTCTTTGTCGGAAGGGCTTTTTTACCATTGCATATGTTTTGCTCTTTGAGATCCATCTGTTTTCATGCTTACACAGTATATTCTTATGCCTTCATATGGATTTCAAAGTACCACCTTGGATAATGCTGTGATTTGCCCTTCAACTTTACATTTAATACAGTAAAATAAACCAGGACTGAAGCAGATGCAGGGCTATACCAGAAACCAGGACCAACGCTAATCAAGGGCAAGACAAAATAGGGACTAAACAATGCAAACCTTATGCTGTAATAAACCAGGGACCGCTGCCTTATGGGTCTGCATTTGTCATTTAGCCACAACCATAATAAACAACAACAAAGCCATATACTGTATAGTAATAGTGTTGAAATTGTGAAAACTGCATATTTTTATTTCATAGCCTGATTTAATTAATGTCATTGATGGGACTGATCGCAGGCATACTAAGGACCAAACCAGGTCTAAACCAATACAAAAACAAGGACCATATTGACCAAATTTAAACCCATGATTTAAATTGCATTAAACCAGGTCTAACCCACATTTATAGCAAATCATTTTTACATAACATCACATTTAAGTTTTACAAAGCTCTAGCTCACTCTGAGGGGGCCAACTCACAATAAATGGGTTTGTAAGAAAGAAAAGGTTTGTAACAGATGTTTGTAAGAAATTAAGTTAATAGAACCAATAAGTAATATTGAATCCACATATTTTGTTTTGTGTTGGCAAAGTTATTTGTTAATGTGCATGGGTGGGTTGCATGGTCTGAGTACAGAATGTGCTAGATGGGACGGGTGAAAGCAGATATTTCAAATTTAATGTCCTCACCTCACTTGCGATGTCAAGAAGAGAACAGATTTGAGGCAACGCTGTCCAGAAATGTTAGAGCGGGTTTTGGAAAAGAGGGTCCATATCTGCAGCCAAAGGGCGTGCAACCTGGTTTTGATATTGGCGTTTTTAGCCATGAGTGATCACAGAGATCTGAAGAGATAAAGCTCTTATACAGGTAGGAAAAGATATGAGTTGGAGTCAATACATTTCAAAGGTCTTTTATGGGATCAGTCTTAACCCATCATGGCAGCTTTGTGGGTAGTTTGGGGTTTGTTTTGTATAATCTGTGAATGCTGATTCATGTTTATTCCACTCACCATCAAATGCTCAACCTGATTTTAGTGAAATCGACTTCTCTTTATGGCCTTATGTTTAGTGATATCAGCTACGGCATTTGCTTATTTGGTTAAAGTTGTGTTTTTCCATTGCTACATTACATTTTACTAATTTTAGTAATTTTTATTTTATTTTATTTATTTATTTCATTTTATTTTTTATCACATCTGGCCATCATGTTGTTTTGACTATAAACTAGGGGTGAATGATATGTGAAAACATAAAGACTGCGATTCATGTAAACATAGTTACCAAACCAAGACTAAACAAAGAAACTAACGTCATTTGCTTCTTTTGACATGTCACACTTTGTTGCAGCTGGTTCAAACCACCTGTCACTTAGTGGATTCAGGGGGAGTGACATGGGAAAAAGTGTCTTTATTTGAGCATAGAGCTGCATTTAAGATAAATTTACTAAAACATGATGTGATGATTTGAACAAAATGGCATATATTCACAGGAATGAGATCACGATTTGATTTTAATTACTATATTGCCCAGCACCGTTATAAAATATTTGTTGTAAAGCTTCTACATTATGTAAAATTGACTTGAAAAACATAAAAAACACACCTGGAGTTGTGTTTTGTTTCACTCACACATGTATGAGATATCATTTATGGAGGTTGTGGAGTTTAAAAACACAGCGAGCACTTCCTGTATTACCACATAACATCACTAGGTGGAGTGTTTTGTGTTTGAGAAAATAATTCTGCCTAAATATGCAGGGTTCGTGTGTTAAACATGTGTGAATGAAACAAAACACAACTCCCGTATGTTTTTAATGAGAAAGAAAATGAGAAAAATGAGAAAACAACATTATAACTAGGGGCGTCAAATTATCGCGTTAATTGCGATTAATTAATTACAGTCATATTTAGCGCGTTATGTTTTTTAATCGCGTTAATCTCATTTTTAATCTCTAACTTTACTGTTTCTGTATGTGAGTTGCTTTATTATAAAATCTGTTTTAATATGTTGTTGGGACAACAACACACACACACACAAAAACACATTTATACATTTTTTTATTTCGGTAATTCCACTCATTGCCGGAAACCCACACAAAACGCGCGCAGTAAGAGCGATGTAAACGTCATGTTAACGTTGGCGGCGTCAGTCGCTCAATGGACGAGGTGGAAGAGCCAGTAGAACAGAGTCAGCAGTGCACAGGTAAAAACACATTCGTGTCTTGGAAATTATTCTCCCGACGTAAAATATAAAAGAAAATAACAAATATAATATCGCCTACAACTTAAATGTCACTGGTGAAAACAACCTGCATAGGCTCATGATGTCTGCACTACTGTCCTATAGTGACCTGCCACATGAGGGGACACGCACACAAACACACGCACAAACACACACAAACACAAACAAACACACACCTTCATCATCATCATTAACCTGAGAACGCGCGGACCACGTTTCCTTCCGTAGTTACTGCGCGGACACCGACGTGCTCCCGTGAGCCGCGTGTGGATCGTGTTTTCTCGCGTACGCTGCGTAAACCGCGCTTCCTCATGTGCGCCTCTAAACCAGAACTAACATCAAGACTAAAACCAGGACTAATCCAGTCCAGGACTAAACCAGGTCTAAACCAGGACTAAACCAGAACTAAAACCAGGTCTAAACCAGGACTAAATCAGAACTAAAACCAGAACTAAAACAAGGTCTAAACCAGGACTAAACCAGAACTAACACCAGGATTAAAACCAGGATTAATCCATTCCAGGACTAAACTAGGATTTAAGTAGGACTAAACCAGGTCTAAACCAGGACTAAAACAAGGACTAAAACCAGTGATCTCATATAAAAAGCATTTCTCTATCAATAATATTTTTAATATGGTTAAGGAAAGACTGGACTTTTTATTGTCTTTAAGTAGACAAAAGTTATTATGTTCAGATTTCCTCGTCTTTGTTACTTTACAGCAAACAGTTTCTTATTCATGGAGACTTGGGCTCAACAGCCAATTTGGAGAGATTTGTTAAACAATAAATGACTTTATAAAGTCACTTTTTTTGTTCTATATCAGTCTTTTGATCTGCCACAATAATGTAATAATGAATTTAAATGAAAATACCTCAAATTGAAGGTTTTTCTCAGCAATTTTTAGGTGAGATTAAAATTAGATTAATTAATTACAGATCATAATTAATTAATCTCTCAATTTTTTTAATCGCATGACAGCACTAATTATAACATAAATCAAAAATTTGTGTAACATTGGCCCTTTAAGGGAATTGTCAAATGTGCTATATAGAGCCTGACCGATATATCGGTTGGCCGATATTATCGGATGATATGGGCAACTTTAGGCATATCGGCTATCGGCCGTTATGCTTGCTGATAGGGGCCGATATTTCACGTGGGCATGTTATACCTCGTTATAAAGCTTAGACTCTCTACATTCTGTTCATTTAATCCAATTTACGGACAGATAAATGTCCTAATATGTGGCTCCACATCAGTATTTATCTACGGAGTCATTTGTCTGTGTGTGTCCATACTGTCCCTGAACACACCACAGAGTCGCGTCACTCACGTGTGTTTGTTTACACCTGCAGACACAGATCCAAACACTGAGATTATATTCTTTTTACGGACAATCGGTTTGAGTCTGGATTAAAAGGACATTTATTAGTGCAGATTTGTGATGTGAGGAGGAGCCTGTATGAGCGGTGAGTGTTGGAAATATGTCGACTCTGAAGCTAGTTTTTGTCATTTGTTATGGGTTAGCTGCTGTAGCTCCCACACATAAACAGTTTTCTATTGGTCTGTTCTAAAGTGACTATATTGGCCGTATATTTGCTACTGGACCTGCACTGATATGTAAATGAGCTGTGAACAGACGTGTGAATTATGACATTTGCGCATATAATTAATTACTGCGGCGCGCACGTATTTACGGCTAAAGGCTAATAGCGCTACTTTATTTACTAGTTATGGGTCCGTCGCGAACGAAATGACTCTTAGAACCGGCTCTTTGAAGGGAACGACGGGAGCCTGATCCTTATTGGGACCCGTGTTTTCTCTTTTTCTCACTTTTTTTCTCTTCACGCTGCGTGATTCGTGGTTTGACAGCGGCAGCGGCTCAAAACGAAACTTTGAGAAATTTGCGTGTACGTAGGACAAAAAAATAAAAATTAAAAAAACGAGCATATTTGACTGTAGTTTAGCATAAAATAAATAAGTCCCGGTTTAGTCCTTTTTCAGTCCTGGTTTAGACCTGGTTCAGTCCTGATTCAGTCCTGCTTTAGACGTGCTTTAGTCCTGCTTGCAATAAAACAATCTGAAGAGCCACTTGGGAGCCAAAAGAACCAGCAGCTTTTAGTGAGCCGAGCCAAAAGAGCTGGTTCTCTAAAAAGAACAGGAATACCCATCACTAGTGTCTAGAATGTGATGCAAAAATGCCATTAAGCCAACCTACTGTCTGTAAATATGATGTAAAGAGGCAGAATAACAATAAATGTTGCCTAAATAAACCCAATTTAAAATCCACCAGAGCCAAACCTAAGTTTTTTAAACAATTCAACATTTACAGTGAATTTTTACATCACTAAATATATCGGCGATTATATCGGCTATCGGCAGCGCCAACTTCCATTATATCGGTTTCATATCGGCCACAGCAAAATCCATATCGGTCGGGCTCTAGTGCTATACACTTATTGTAATTTAACACTGTGGTAATATAACTGGATGCTACGAATGCAAGTCTTACCTAGTGCTTATAAAGCACTAAATAGAAAATGCAACATAGAACAGTAAATCATCTATGCATGCTGCCCTGTACACTTGTAAATCCAGATATGGCCAAATATTTGACATTTCATATAGTTTTACTTTATCAAGAACATAAGATTTACCCTCTGTGGACCAATGTAGATTATTCACTCATGCTTGTGTGTGCTACAGCTCCTGCTCTCTGTTCACCATGTTTAACTGTGCCAATCAACTATAAACGCCCCTCCTGATTTATGTTTGGGTTTTTTCAGCAGACCAAAAATTCCTCAAATTACCTTAACGAGTCCCTCGGCTCTGCTCTGGCTGGTGAAGCTCATTAAAATGTTATTTGATTTGAAGAAGGGAGGAGGCAGGGAGAGCACAAAGGTTTTATTTGGGTCTATGCATCCATTAAGAAAAGTCAATCAGCGTTTTGAAGAGACGGACCACCAAATGAAAATTGGATCTGTCATCACAATATGAAAAATAAACCATTCTCTGAGAAAGCTGAGGCTGTATACAGTGTACATTATATTAGGAGGTATAAACTATGCTTTTGGGGGTTAGACTTGATTACACCATCATCTTGCTGAAATATTGCTCTTTTCTATGTAATTACTTTAAAGCTCATTTATTTTTTCTATATCAGTTCCACCACACAATGGATCTATTGGGGTACATTATCCACCCAATTATTTTATGCTAATTTAAAGTACACATTGTAAGCAAAAGAAATATAAATATTTGGTTTTCATTACGCAGATTATTTGTAAAAGATTATATATATGCAGGATTTTAAATAGATGTATACCAG